TCGCCTGGAACTCTTCGTTTTTAATAATATCTGCCATTATTTCTTTCTCTTCAGAAGTATAACTAATTGCAAGAGGTGGAAGGAGTCGGGGACGCTGATGTGAAATGCCTTCTGCCGCAGAGATCTTGGCTATTAAAACAGACTCTTCTTTGGTATACTGTGGCGCACCAGGAATTGGTTGAAGCATGACAACATTTGTTTTTATTTTCGTTTTAGACGGTTTGCAGACGTTATCCCTAATATCGAAGGCAACTCCCCCTCTGGCCTTTCTAGGTACGATCCCTTCCGCTTTCAGCTGTTCCATTATGATGTCCTCTGCTTTCCTGGCGATGTTTAGCATTGGTGTGCCTTGTTCTACCGGAACACCTCGGGGGCTTCCTCTGATTACTTCGGTTACAGCACGAGTTCCGGTGGTCTCGAACAAAGAAAGTGGAACAGTTTCCATACCCGAGTCTGCCGCCATTGATCCTGTAGTCTCTTGGCCGTTTGACGGTCCTACCTGCAAATTAATAAAGTTGCAGTTAACCAATATTCTTGTTTTTCGTAGTGAAAGCAATTGACGTTATATCTATGTGAATTTATTGCGTAACATCTATCAAGGCTAAGTTTAGTCTAAGGCTAAGACTAAGCTTTAGTCTGCAATACAAAACTGTATACAAAACAGAGCAAAATGTTGATTCGAACCTTTAGCCTTCCGATCTCTGGAACAAAGAGAAATACATAGATGCAAACCACACGCCTTTCTTACTCCACAAAAGAGCAAAACATACATTCGAGCTTCCAGCATTTCTATTTCTGAAACAAAGGGCAAAACAGAGATTCGAACATCCAGCCTACCTATCTTTGAAACTGACGGAAAGCCACAAAAAAACACCCTGAAGGGGCAGACAGAGTTTCGAATAGGAAATAGTTGTATCTGTTTCAGGACAAAGAAACACTTTTTCCTGGTGCTGTTATAAAAACTATACTGATACCATATTAACCTATAGTAGCAAGGACTGCTGCACGTACAAACCATAGGCGTAATAGATGTTAGTGTATTACAACAGATACTGTTCATTTATGGTAAAAGGTGAGACTCAGGTTGAGGTAGACTAAAAGTGTTTATGACAGTAGTTTGGCAAGCCAATTTCACATATTTTTCAAAGAGGAAAGTCGATTCTGGATTTCGTTAAATAGTATGTAAGATGTTGTATATAGCGTGTGAGACACCCTACATAGTATGTAAGATGTTGTATATAGCGTGTTAGACACCCTACATAGTATGTAAGAAATTGTATATAGCGTGTGAGACACCCTACATAGTATGTAAGATATTGTATATAGCGTGTGAAACACTCTACATAGNTAAGATAGTGTATATAGCGTGTGAGACACCCTACATAGTATGTAAGATATTGTATATAGCGTGTGAGACACCCTACATAGTATGTAAGATATTACATATAGCGTGTGAGACACCCTACATAGTATGTAAGATATTGTATATATAAGATGTTGTATATAGTATCGTCTAGTCATCAGTTTCCGCGCGTTATGTATTTCCGCGCAGTCATTTTATCAAGCTATAATCTCGTAACTACGTGATCTGCTGGACACAACACAAGGATATTTTAGACGTTTGGCCATCGTCTGTAAACTGACACAAAATTACCGGAAGTTTGTCCGGAAAACATAAGAATTAATCACTGATTAAAAAACACGCATAAATATGCAGATTTGCTTAATGCACTTTTTATCTTGCTCAAAATGAACCCATACCTGTACAAATCTTTCTCCTTAACTTATATTTCCCCATAAGGAAAATATTACTGAAATTAATGGAAAATCTTAACTTAAGATAAGGAACATATATGCGATCGGGGCCTAGCTTTGAACCGTAGAGTAAAAATCAGTCCTACCTATTATAGATAACCTATACAGAAATTACGTCAATTACCTTATGTTTTCTTCTTATTCTGTTACAGAGTCTTTGCCATCTTGTCTGACTTTTCTTCCTGTCCTCATTCTGGGATTTAGTATTGATACAACCCATAGTTTTGCAGAGAGATATTCTAAAGCAGCTAAGTTGTAGAAAGCTAAGCGATCGTACATAGCAACACCTATTTGTGACGTCAGGACAATAAAGTGGACTATGACGTCATAGATGCGCAAGTCTCGTTAGCAGTCTGCTACTGATATCTTAAGCAGCAAGGACGTGATAACGGGTCATTTGTAAATTTCATAAACAATTAAATTATGCTTCATAAGAGTCCGCTAAGTTACATTGGGAAAAGCTTTCTTCAACTTATAACTATTTAATGAATTTGTAAGCTGAATCTATCGCATTGATGTTATCCGCCATTGTACAAGATATTTGTGAAGTATTGGTATTATGTATATGCCTATATGCAATGTGCACTTGGTAATAAATTGAATTGAATTGAAAGTGATGCCATAATGAATTGATTCTCGTCAAATATATATGATCTCTTATAGATATAGCAGTTTACTTGGGTAAATATGGAGCTTTGGTCAACATTAATGTAACAGCTTTGCCTTGTTGTTAAATAAAACCTCCCTATGTGATAGATACAGAGAAAACTCAGCAGGTGTGATACTGTAGTTGTGTATACAGGGGGCGATCATCAGTCTGGACACATTGGTTTCTGTGTAGAATAGACGCTCGTCAGTCCTGACACTATAGTTCCGCCATATATAACTTTCAAAATTCACTGATATGCCCTTGTTCATATAATAAATATATCATTTAATGTGTTTATTGACTTGTGTTTTTCAGAATAAGTTAATAAAAGACATTGTTAATAGTGAGTACTTGTATACCACACAAGAATGAGATAGGTACAATTCAATTAAAGATAGGTTCAGATAGGAAGAATTAAACCTCTCTTCAATTGAATTGAACCTATCTTTATAGGTTATGGGCGGATTGGTCGAGTGGTTAACACTCAGGCCTTACACGCAGGCGGCCGGGGTTCAATTCCCGAAGTCGTCGTACGCATGGATATTCAGAGAAATTGTTTTTCTCCTGCCCAAACAACTCCAATTACCCAAGTGGAGTATTAATTGGTGTGGGATGGATGTTGCGGTACCTGTGCTGTAGCATTCAAGGGAGGTGGCACTGTAAATGTGGAAGCACGGTCCCACTACAAACAGAACACATTACATCTCCAGCATATACGCTGTCGTACACACATAGGGAGCCAGGTGGCATAGGACTAGTAGTTTGCGACTGATAAGGCAGCTCCTGCGAATTCCTCAAAATTGTATTGGTATGCTAATTGTATTAATTGGATATCTATGTACTGTAAAGCGCTTTAGAGATGCTTATGTTAGCTAGATAGGGCGCTATATATGTATATATGTATATTATTTTATTATTAATAGAACATATCTTCAACTGAATCTATCTTACTTGAAGTAAGGTGCAATTATTTGAATATGTGTACCTTCTACGTAAGTTGCATCGGATTTTGTCAGTAACCCTGACGAGTTGTCACTAGTTGTTTTATAAACAATTAGACTAGTCAGTCTGTTTAAATAACTTCATGCTTGAACATTTATAAAAGTCTTCGTAGGTTCATGGGTAGTCGGGTAGTCGGGTAGAGGGATCGCGCATCCGTCAACACACTTGCCTTTCACCAAGGGTCTGGGTACTATAGTTTCTATGAACAGTGGGCGTCCGTCAGTCTGGGTACTATAGGTTTTATGTACAGTAGGCGTCCGTCAGTCTGGGCACTACAATTTCTGTGTAGAGTGGGCGTCCGTCACTCTGGGTACTATAGTTTCTGTGTACAGTGGGCGTCTGTTAGTCTGGGTACTATACTTTCTGTGTACAGTGGGCGTCCGTCAGTCTGGGTATTATAGTTTCTGTGTATAGTTGGCGTCCGTCAGTCTGGGTACAATAGTTTCTGTGTACAGTGGGCCTCCGTCAGTCTGGGTACTAAAGTGTCTGTGTACAGTGGGCGTCCGTCCGTCAGGAAATTATAGTGTCTGTGTACATATGGGCGTCCGTCAGTCTGGGTACTAAAGTGTCTGTGTACAGTGGGCGTCCGTCAGTCAGGAAATTATAGTTTCTGTGTACGGTGGGCGTCCGTAAGTCTATAGGGGAAATATAGTTTCTTTGTTCAGTGAGCGTCCGTCAGTCTGGATACTATAGTTTCTGTGTACAGTGGGCATTCGTCAGTCAGGAAATTATAGTTTCTGTGTACAGGCGGCGTCCGTCAGTCTTGGTATTTTAGTTTCTGTGTTCAGTGGGCGCACTTCAGTCGGGATACTAAAGTTTCTGTGTACAGTTGGCGTTCGTCAGTCAGGAAACTATAGTTCTGTGTAAAGTTGGCGTTCGTCAGTCAGGATACTATAGTTATGTGTACAGGTGGCGCTCTTCAGTCAGGATACTATAATTCTGTGTACAGTTGGCGCTCGTCAGTCAGGACACTATAGTTTCTGTGTACAGTTGGCGCTCGTCAGTCAGGATACTATAGTTTCTGTGTACATTTGGCGCTCGTCACTCACTCAGTCAGGATACTATAGTTTCTGTGTACATTGGGCGCCGGTCATGACCAGTATATGTTTCTAAAGGTATAGATCTACATGACTTTTTTCTATTTGTTAACCTTATATTATCAAACGTTGAATTTATATATTTCAGGGGTGTCGGAGCAATGAAAGGATTTAAAACAATCTAAGAGTTTAAATGACACAAGATTAGTCTATACATAAACAGTTTTTTCGAAAAGTGACAAAAACATCATATTTTAAACAAATGAATACTTCCCGCCCACAAACTTTTGTAAGGGAGGTGAAAAGAACAGCAAGACCATACAATCTAACCGATAAACACATTTTCTTTCCCTATAATGTACGTGTTGTCAAACTTTTTAATTTCCTATTTATTTCCCTGTGTAATAACCTTTATTTTTTAATTTCAATATAAATCGTACATGCTAAATAATACAAGTATCGCATGGTTACTCGACATTTTTCTCAATGACTGAAGCGACTCTCTACGTTGTCTGAAGTTGGCAAAACACACGGGACTGGAAACAAGAGCTAAAGAATATCTGGGCTAACGTTAAAAAATACATAGAAAAGGTAAGGTAAACAATAAGCTCTGATAAAAAATATGGTTAATTACCATATTGATAATGAAGAACTTCATTTGTCGACGATCGCGACAAGTGTGTTGACAACCGACCCTCGCTCTGCACCACCCTCCCCCCCGAAATAACTCTCACAATCAAATGAAAAACGTGAAACAACAGCTACGTAAACACGTTGTAAATAAGTGCATCTTGGAAGATTGTTGAATATTGTGTTATTTTAATCCATTGATTTATATATCGTTCATCTAACAACATACTCGGAAAAATTTCATCAGATCAGGAAGCCTAAATTATTCGGGATTTTTAAATTTGTGACCGAAGTAACTATGCAACCAAAGACATTATCCAAATAAGATAGGAAAAGACATTCAAAATACAAGTACCATTTTATTGTCACTGACAGACAAGAACAAACACCATTAAGATAATCTCGTCCTAAAAATATACAAACACCATTAAGATGATTTGACACACTTCAAAAAGGATGCAGGCTTATCAAGGCTTGTCCGTCAAATCACAAATCACTCTGCACTGGGTGACTACCATCAGACTGGAGGAAGGCTATAACATCACGCCAATCTACAAAAAGTGTAACCGCCACCTTGCCAGCAATGTCTCACTTACCTAGGCCTGCGTCTGTTCAAAACTTCTCGAACACGTCATCTGTAAACACCTCCTCACGCACTTTGAAAATAACAACATTCTGACAGAAGTACAACATAGATTTCGAAAAAAACATTCTTGTGAAACCCAACTCCTTGTCACAACCCAGGTCCTTCTTTCCCGATTCGACCAAAAGAAACAAATTGACATGGCTATTTTAGCCTTTGACACGGTCCCGCAGTCACTTTTTGTACAAACTTGACCACTATGGCGTTCATCCCGACATATTGATTTAGGAAGCTTGACATGTTTTAGGTTTTAAACCAGTTACATTGAATCATATTATTTGTACGGATCTTCAAAATTATTTAATACCTTTACTTTCTTTTTGCTGAGGAAATATTAAATCTTAACAGGTGATATTATAATTAATCAATTTTACCTGCATAAAACCTTTTTAACAAAAAATAATGTTCTGCCTTTTGAATTGATTTGATATGTAAGATTGCAGCAATATTAAGACACCAGGATGGCTACCACCACTGAGGACAGCTCAAGCAACAATGGAAACAGAAGTGTATCTGATATGAGCAAGTCTGAATTAGAAATGTATCGTCATGGACCAGAAACAGAGTTGTCTGCCCTTGTTTGTCATGCTTCAGAATCTGGAGATTTTACTGCTCTGAGGGATTACTTACAGGTAAGATGGCCATTTATGTCACAACAAACAACAAATGTCTGTTTCGTAATGAAATCTAAAATGAATGCACAAATCCTAAACTTTTGTATGCACAGTGAGAATTAAAAAGTTAATTCTGCTATTTATTGTAAAGTAATTGAAACAATTATAGTTCAAACATTTTTAATACTATGCATATGAAATTACTGCTCTTGACGTTTATATTAGATACTGTCGGACACAGAGCCTGAAAAGATCAATGAAACTGACAAAGCGGGAATGACAGCTCTACATTTTGCTGTTTCTTGCCAAAACGTACGTGATGATTGTATACAGTAACTGAGTAAGGTTAGTTAGGTTACAGTTAGCCTTATTATGGATTTATTTATCAACACAACGGTAACATTTAATTTTTGTGAGGGAAATGTGTGACAGTGGATATGAATTTTATTGTATCAGTACTGAATTGAAGATTTCCTTTCTGTATTTGTCATAATATGCTTCAGATAATTAACGTCTGAACTTTGATATTGTGCAGTTTGTGCAAATTTTTAAAGGAACGAAATGGGGTCCAAATATTACATTAATATTCACATAAAGACAACTTTTCTAAAACTTGTATTGCTTTATATGTGCAGTTTGTGGTATCAATTTTTTTCTACAATAAATAAGTGAGTTGTTTAATGTGATTTTTGAAATAGCTGCATGCAGTGAGTATGCTGATACGCCACGGAGCAGACGTGGGTGCACAAGATGTGCTTGGCTTCACTCCACTGTTCCTAGCTACCGGTTAGTAACATTGTTTAACTAAGCAATTGGATCCAATGCAAAGAGAAGGAAAGATGAAGCAAACACGTCGGGATTCTGTAATTTATCTAAGAAATAATCAATGTATGTGCATGTATTATGGTGGAATAGATAATGAGGATGAGAAAATGTTGGAAAAACAAAGGCCAATTGTACAGTTGGTTGTTTATCCAACATTTTTGAATCCCGAGTCCAAGCATGATGAGTTTGTCAGATTTTAAGTAGTCTAGAAGGTAAAATAGAATTTTTTGTTCGGCTGGGGAGGGCAAAATGTTGGTCTGTTGGAAAATAATTCACGCTCGTGCATAGTCTATCGACCAATTATACACGATTATTAACCAATGAAAATAGTCGTTACAAAAATCGTAAACATGGTAGAGTTACTAATATCCACTTACAACCCCCACAACCAGTTGGTCACCATCTCCATTCGGTGGATCCAAGTCTATCGATTTAGTTTCATTATTATGGTCCAGAATGAAAAGAAAATGATTGTGTACTGTATACACAGAACAATTATACTGAAGTGTTTGGTGTTTAGTAAAATATAAGTCCATCCTTCAAATTTTTTGATTGCAGTTTCCCTACACAAAATATGTTAGTGGTTGGTGGATAGGGAACTTTTTATTTTCAGAAATCTCATATTTCAATGTATAAAACCGTTATATGTTTTAGTGCTTTTTCAGAAAGCAAAATATTTTTACCAAAAGTTCCAAAAAAGGGATAGAGTGTAGATGCCATTTTCAGTGAGTTGGTCAGGAAACTGCAAATAAATAATTGTTAAAGGATGGCCTAATTTGCTGTATTTTGTACATTAGATATTTGTTGTTTAGTTCTTTGGTGAGGAATTCTTTGGCTGTATTTTGTAGGTCGTTACCCAAATTTGGAGGTGGCCAAGTACCTACTGACTGAAGGAAAATCTGACGTTAATGTAAAAACACACAGTGGGGCCACTCCACTCCATGGGGCATCTCTACAGGGGAACATTGGTAAGGGGCTGTTACAATTACTGACTCACTCCTACTGCATTAGGCCTGTAATATTCTAGAAACCATTCAAGGGTTCCAACAGGCCTTGAAAAGGCCCTAAAACAAAGTAGTTGGCGGCCCTGAGAAAACCTTAAATTGAAGAAAAAAAATGTCTTGAAAGGGTCAAAATGAGCCTTGAAATTGACTGAATAATTATTGAACTATAATTGTATATCAATTTTGGTGGTTTTGTGGTATTATTCTCATAAAAAAGAAATCAGGAAATATAAGTTATTTTCTAGATTTTTGGACTACCAACAAGTAGTGGAGTACATATCTAGATATCTGTACTTTAAGAATTTGCAAATGGCAGGAGTTTGTATACCTTGAAATTTTACTGAAAAAGGCCCTTAAAAGACTCTTATAAAACTTTGAATTTCATAGTAAATTCCTGTTTGAACCCTTGTTTACTATCTAATAGAAATATTTCAAATATCATCACTGAAACATTATTTTCATAACCCTCAGGCTAAAGTCAATACCAAAATCAGTGGTAACATTTTTGTTGTCAATTTTGTATGCATGCCTTACATTTTAAACTATCAATATATATATACTTTGATAATTCTCAACATGGAGAAGTATGTTCTATGATCCTAACAAAACAGTAGCAAATTTTTTAAATGTTACTTTGTTATCAGGGAATGAAAAAAATGTCATGTAAAATGTGAAAACTGATCAATTCTTCAAATGTGATTTAATGCCATATTGCCATTGAGATGTTGATATACTGTGTAGATTGTTTGAAGTTGCTGCTGGAATGGAATGGCGACCCACGAATAGAAGATGAAGATGGAACCACCCCATTTGAACTAGCAAAGGACGACGAGACCAAGGCGGTCCTCCATGATGCCATTATAGTGTTTGATGCCAAGAGAGACACAGTGGGTTTGTAGTACATTCTTACATCTTACATTGGACTGCTGAGCTCTGAGTTTACAGTACTGAGCTCTTGAGTTTACACTGCTGAGCTTTGCATTTACACTGCTGAGCCCTGAGTTTACACTGCTGAGCTCTGAATTTACACTGCTGAGCTCCGAGTTTACACTACTGAGATCTGAGTTTACACTACTGAGCTCTTGAGTTTACACTACTGAGCTCTTGAGTTTACACTTCTGAGCTCTTAGTTTACACGGCTGAGCTTTGAGTTTACACCACTGAGCTCTAAGTTTACACCACTGAGCTATTGAGTTTAACCTGCTAAGCTCTGAGATTACACTGTTGAGCTCTGAGTTTACACTACTGAGCTCTTGAGTTTACACTGATGAGCTCTTAGTTTACACTACTGGGCTCTTGAGTTTACACTGCTGAGCTCTTGCATTTACACTGCTGAGCTCTGAGTTTAAACTACTGAGCTCTGAGTTTACACTGCTGAGCTCTGAATTTACACTGCTTATCTCTGAGTTCACACTGCTGAGCTCTGAGTTTTCACTACTGAGCTCTTGAGTTTACACTTCTGAGCTCTTAGTTTACACGGCTGAGCTTTGAGTTTACACCACTGAGCTCTGAGTTTACACCACTGAGCTATTGAGTTCTGAGTTTACACTGCTGAGCTCTGAGTTTACACTACTGAGCTCTGAGTTTACACTGCTGAGCTCTGAGTTTACACTACTGAGCTCTTGAGTTTACACTGCTTAGCTCTTGCATCTACACTGCTGAGCTCTGAGTTTACACTGCTGAGCTTTGAATTTACACTGCTGAACTCTGAGTTTACACTGCTGAGCTCTGCCTTTACGCTGACTGCCCTTATCAATGCTCGGAAGTTTACACTGAGGGAAAAGGTCTTGACCTTCGCTCATATAGATAAGGTATACATTTGTGCACACTTTAAGTTCTTAGTTTACACTGACAAGTTTTGAGTTAAATACTCTTGAGCTCTGCATTATATCCCCAATTGAGTTCTGTAAATACAGTTTCTAAATATCATTACACTGCTGAGTTTCAGGTTTACACTGATAATCTCTAAGTTAATATCTTTTCTGTTGACAGATGCTATTTGTGCCTGGTGTAAGCAGATCCCCAAGGCAGGTCTGAAGAGGTGTGGTCGGTGTCACGTGACCATGTACTGTCAGCGTGATTGTCAGGTGAAGCACTGGAAAGAAGGAGGACATCGCATTGCTTGCTCAGGTGAATAATGGGCCAGTGATATTATACTAGTTAGTAAGTCATCTGTAATAGTATATATTGCAGTATTCACGAAGAATTTTGATGTTGTACAGTGTTGTTTCTTGGTGGAATTAATTACAGATCGAGAGAAAGTGATCAAGTGTACATATATTCTAGTTAGTTACAAACATCAAATGGTTTAAAAAGTGTGACATTCATTCAAATTTAAAGATTCATTTGTTTATAACAAACTTTTCTGTGAAATTTGTTTGAATCAATGCTAAGGTCATGAAATATGACTGAGATATGATTATTATATCTTGAAAATTTTCACTTACTTGTAAATTGAAATTCACTTCTTGGCCTAAAACTCCCAACAGAGTTTTAAGTACCTACAGGTTGATATTTTATGGTGCGTAAATTGAATTTGGCAAGACTAGTTAGCTATAAACATTTCAGCACTCTAACCACAAGGTTAATTTCGTGGAATTGCTATATACAATACTGTGTACTAATATCTACAGTCAAGACAACACTTGGCCTTCATTACAAAGAGTGTTGAATGTTGAATTGCGGCTTACAAACACTTTCTTCTGCACTGTAAAATATTTTGAAACCTTTGGCTATATCCAAAGAACGTGCTCTTTGGAATTTAGAGATAAAAAAGTGTCAATTTAACTGTGAATATTCAGTATCTGGTCAGTTGCGCCGAGAAATATACTTTCATACTGAAAAGTCAAATTGAGTTGCATTATTTTGTAATTGCAAGATTGTCATATGAATGAAAAGATCACCATGTGATATTCTTTGATAATGTTTTGCTTCAGGCTTTATTGTGGCGCGACCCTTTCATGCTAATGAGAGGAAGGGACAAGGCATACAGACCTCCTTCTACAGAGTCATGGGCTCCACGAAACCCAATGTCAAGGTCTTCATGCGCAACGCCAGTGAAGCCCCACAGAAAATGGAATTTCTCAGGAACAAGAGATTTGTCGTCAAAGTACAGGTTCCAATTGGTAAGTTGTAAATAACTGTGGGGAACGCATTGAAAACGTGTCTTTTACGCTGACTGTGTTTAAAACATATACAGTACAACCTCAACATAATGCTCCTTTCATTTGCCACCTCGTTTTCCGCAAACCTATTTCAGTGTCGCTTTTTCTCATTTTCTCAAGAATTCCCTTATACATTTCCTTCAATTTATTGCCCAACCTCTTGATAAGGACAAACTTTCTGTGGACAAATTGGGGCAGTATAACGAGGTTTTACTGTATGTGCATGAGGGTTGGTTACTTTGGCAGTTACTTTATGAACGATACAGAAATCTAAATTAAAGAAATATATGATTGGTAGCTAGGGTAATCTAGGTTACAGAAATGTTGATGGAAGGGTGTTTCACAGGACTTCCTGAGAGACTACCCTACCATCAACATGTCTGGACTCTTCAAAAATGTATGGGTGGTAGATAGAGAAATGGACTACAAACTTTTCGGAGTGTATGTATTGCTTTATTTTTAAGTTCACTGTGTGATAATAAGTTATGGGAACTTAGGCAACAGAAATATTTTATAGGTGATAGGGAAATTTAGACTACAGAGATATACAGAGATATACTGGGGTAATATACAGAATACATATTTGTTAGCTAGGGTTATACAGAAATATATGTGTGTTAGCTAGGGTAATATACAGAAATGTACCTGTGGTAGCTAAGGTAATGTATGTTGGACTATATACAGAAATGTACCTGTGGTAGCTAAGGTAATGTATGTTGGACTATATACAGAAATGTACCGGTGGTAGCTAAGGTAATGTATATTAGACTATATACAGAAATGTACCAGTGGTAGCTAAGGTAATGTATGTTGGACTATATACAGAAATGTACC